ATTCCTGCTTCTGAGTATGAAAGAGGCAGTTACTTAGAGCACTGGTTGGTCAGTGCACTACAGATTCTGGCTGTTACTGTATAGATAAATGTAGCAGCTGGGAAAAGAAGAATTTCCCCCCCACCCTGAAGCGTGGATAACGAAAAATAATTGCAAATAAAATTATATATTCTTAGTAAAACCAATTTATTCAAGCAACATATAATTCCAAATTTAGCTAGAAATACTTAGGCATCAATTTAGGCTCTTGTAATATTTTAAACTGTTTAAGAAATTAAACAAACAACATTAAAGCATTAAATTTCATTGCTGAATTTTTGAAGAAAAGGAAAGTATTGAACTGAGAGAAATCAAAGCTGAACATATGGAAGCAAAATTGAACAAAATGCTAAACTAAGTTTGGCGGCTGTATTTCTGCATTTGCATTTTCTTGCCAATGCATAAAACACTTTTTTAATGTTAAAATATCAATTAGTTCAGCATCTACCTCATTTACAGCTAAGAAGCCTCCTGGGAGTTAAACAAGCAGAAACCCAAGCATTCCTCGTCCCTTGCTGTTGAATAAAAGTAAGTGATAATGATTGAGGTCTATTCTTTTTAAAAATCTTAAAAGACAAAAGGAACAGAATTCCATTCACCATTTAATTTTGTTCCTTTACTCCGGATTTCTCCTTTCTGCATTCAAAACCATAAGCATTAAGTTTGTGTAAATTTTAGCTAAATAGCTTAAAAAAATAATAAAGCTCATTGGATTCTATTTTAGTTCCCATATTCCACTGATTAACTCAAATTTCAACCACCAGTGACAACTACCCCTTGATTAAGCTTTTAAAATGCATTTTCAGTTGGATTTCTCTAGCTTCCATGAGGAAGGTTCCAAGCTACTGTCTCATCTGCACATCTTGGCAGTCAAGTCACTTTCTGATGGTACTCCCCGGAATATGTGAAGATCAGTCTCCCCTATGCAGAAGCTTTAGAACAACACTTAGATATTAGCATGAAATCAACCCAGTCATTTACAGTAAAGCAGACTAAAAAATATCCTTGTAACTCAGTGTAGTATGGAGAGTTATTCTAATAACACATAAGACTTATAGCCTCTCTTTGATAAATTCATGTCATTAAGCCTAAAGATAGAAAACAGGTCATTATGACCTTTTCAGATACTTGGAGAATATTTATTATAACTTATGAATTTTCTTGGTGCCCTAAATAGACCTTTAAGAGTAATTATTTCCTCATTTTGTAACGTATACTAGACGTTTTCCAAAAATTTGTCCAAAACGTTTTACAGAAGCTAAGGAATACAAGCTAATCTATCAGAGTTGTAAAATAACTGTGCATGTTCAATTTAAGACACAGTGAGGTAATCTAATTTCCAGCAGATATGCACTTCCTGCTTTGCAAAAACCAGACCTCTCCATTTCAAAGGAGATGAATAACTACCATAATATAATAACACAAAACTGGGAGGAGTCGCTGACACACCAGAGGGTCATGCTGCCATTCAGAGGGACCTTGGCAGGCTGGAGAAATAGGCTGACAGGAGTGTCATGAAGCTCCATCAAGGAGAAGCGCACAACCCTGCTCCTGGGGAGGAACAGCCCTGTGCACCAATATATGCTGGGGCCACCAGCAGGAAAGCAGCTGGCAGAAAAGGACCTGGGGGTGCTGGTGGACACCGAGTTGAACACGAGCCAGTAGTGTGCCCTCACAGCCAAGATGGTGAAGGGTATCCTGAGCTGTGTTGGGCAAAGTATTGCCAGCAGGTCGAGGGAGGTGATCCTTCCGCTGTACTCAGCACTGGTGAGGCCACGCCAGGAGTGCTGGGTGCAGCTGTGGGCTCCTCAGTACATGACGGACATGGATGTACTGGAAAGAGCATAACAAAGGGCCATGAAGATGATTAAGGGACTGGAGTACCTCTCCTGTGAGGAAAGGCTGACTGGGACTGTTTAGCCTAGCCCTGAGAAGGCTCAGTGACAGGACCAGAGGCAATGGGCACGAACTTAAACACAGGAGGTTCCCTCTGCACATCAGGAAACTATTTGGTTTTTTCACCGCAGGAGTGGTTGGGTGCTGGAACATGTTGCGCAGTGAGGCTGTGGGGTCTCTATCCTTGGAGATGTTGTCAACACCTGGACACAGACCTGGACAATTGGTTCTAGGTGGTCCTGCTAGAGCAGGGTGGGTCGAACAAGCCTTTCTATAGAAAAATAATGACCTTTACTCACCCGGTATCAGTTTTGTTCTGAATGATGCTAATATCATCTGGAGAGAGTTCTGGAATCCACTTCTCCATCTCATCAACCCAAGGGTATCTCAGAGATGAAGGCACTACAATTAAGAGAGGCCATTCATTTTTATAGTAATAGGAAATGGCAATTGCTTGAATTGTTTTACCTAGCCCCATCTGGGAAAAGAAAAGAAAAAAAAAACAAAAATAGAAGTCTCTGCTTGGAAAGTATATTCGATTCAGAAGAGCCAAAAACATTTTGTAAAGACACAACCAGATAAGGGAAACGAAGCCAAAGAGTTAGTTACATAGTACCTATTTCATTGTCAATTTATTACCACAGATTATCTTTTATGAAGGAAGATGCTTCTCTTTAAATGGCTTAATACAGGTTACATCTGGCCAGCTTATTAAAGCTAAAAGAAACATTTCCATTCATTTCAGAAGGTTTTCTGTTCAGGGCCTTATTATGGTAGACTATTAACTCTTTAACCTGTTAAGCTATGAAAATCATTTTAAAAAGACTATGCAAAGGAATGAATAATATGGGATGTCTTCTTAACATAACAACTTAGTCCCAGGTTGCACAGTCGACTGAAGAACAAAGGAAGATCTATATGAAGAATTCTGCTTTTAAGCCAGCAGGTCAATGAAAAGAAACGACTTTCATTCGCCACAGCTAATAATTCCTCTTTATTCTATAACAGAGAAGAGGAAGCCCACCCAGTAGAGAATTCAGATTTACAAACAAGGTGAAGGGTAAAGATACAATACACAGATATATATTTAACAGGAAAGTACATGTTTCATATTGCTGAGGTAGGAATGCTCCTACCCAACGAGTTATGAATGTCAACAGCAACAGATGAATACAAAGATCCAGAATTTGGAGGTTTGTTTAAATATAAAAAAAACACCCACACAAAACTTTATCACAGAATGCAGCTGCTTTCTCTGCTTGTTCATATGGCAAGAGACTGTTCCAGATTCCTCTTAAGCACTAAAGCAGCAACCGGCCTTAAAATATTCTGTTCAGGTTCTCCACAAGAGTTCAGTGAATATCTGAGTTGGTTGCTGTTATCTCACTACTCATGGTACAGGCTTAAAAGAACAACCTACTTATATCCTTAGTACTGAGTTTAAATGGACTGATGTAATGATATGCCAAGGAGATTTCCCAGGTATAGAAGAAAACATAATGAATATTTCTATTATTACTACAAAGAAAAATAATCTGAGAACTACTGTGCTACTGAGTTTTCATTAAGAACTGCCAAGTTCTCATTAAAATTTTCCTGCAAGCCCCGCCTTGTGTCCCCAGTAATGCTTGAGCCAGCTAAAAACAAATTCAAGTATAAAAAACCAGGTATATATAAACTAATTATGTGACCTCTAGTTTTAATACATAAGTTCTCTTTGTATACAAGCTCACAATACTGATGTTTTGTTTTACCACCATTTTCTTTTTGTTTTAGAAGTGTGTCAACAAGCACAAGATACACACCACTGCACAATACTTCCTCCAGTGCCAGATTTGTTGTCATTACAAAATATACATTTAGTTCACAACAAATACATCTTGTAGCACTTTTTATTGCTAACGTAATTATACACAGCTTACTTTCTCATTCAAGGAAGGAAATGAGCAAGTTTGGTTTAATAAACACATAGCTCCTGCTGATACTTCGATTTTTCCCCGAACTTCCTTTTTTGTCCTCCCCTGAACACTTCTATATTCTCTAGAGTTTTCAGAAATTTCACATTTTATGTCAGGATAGTTTATATCCAGCTCCAATGAGATTTTTATACTAGGAGGAGATGCTTTAATCCCAGTAATCCATTCTTCTTTCTTTTTCTCCTTCTCCCCCTCAGTGTTTCAAGAAAACCCAAATTAGAATTGGAAATCTATATAAATCCCCAAATACTACTTTTTAGTAAGATTTTATACTGAGAACACATCAAGAACATTATAGTCTATCACAAAAACGTTTTATCTGTGGGAAGAAATGATGGAACTCAAATTTCTCTAATAGGGAATAAAATACAAATTTTCAAATGTATGGGAAAAATGAATTCCACTATTATTACTTGATCAGTGCATTTAAGAAAATTCATCTTTGGAAGGTATATGTGTTCAAAACCCATCTCTGAGCCAGGAATTTCTCCTAAGCCATTAAAAATAGCTAGCTATGCAATTATAAAGTGCTAAAAAATATATTTTGAAAAACAAAACAAAATAATATTTTAAAGATTTAACAAAACAGGAGATTTAAGCTGCCTAAATACAATTCAAAGTAACCTAAGTTTTCTCAAAGACTTTTAAGTTTATGTTAGGTTCATTTTTTTCTCTCCCACTTAGATATTTTCAGAATACCTGCCGAATATCACAGGAATTATGCCTCATTCCTTACCAACCTTTCTGCCCACATCTCTCAAAAAAATCACATCTGCATGAGGTACATTGAACCAAGAAAAATGGTGTTAGAGGAACAGGAACATCACTTACCTCATCAGCAATCATACACCTAAACAAGACACAAGAAGAGAAGGAGAAAAAGCAGAAATTCATGGTAAATATAACCAATAAATCAATACTTGTGAATCGTTTACTACAATTAAAGTTATGCATTTACTGAATCTATGAAAGGTACCTTCATTCCTACAGGTACCAACTAAAACCCCTAAATTTAGTATGAATTTGAAAGTAAGTATGCCAATTATTCTAAAACCATACATTCAATTTGTTAGCATTACTGAAGAGCTCACTTTGCAAAATTGAATTGCTGCTTTGGTCTAGTGCTATATGAATTGTAATCTCAAGAGACATTTTCAAAAGCAAGTAATGAATCCCATTTATTTATTTTTTGTCTTTCAGAAACAGTGATGGTTTTGCTCCTTCATGATTAATATGTCAGGCTGATTTAAAAACGCTGCTTCCCAGAGCTGTCACATTTGTTATGAAATAGAAACAGAAACTCCCTCTCCTCCATCAACTGTACCAGCTAAAGTATTAAGAAATAAATTTGATTTTTTGCCACTTTGAGGCCACTTAGTTAATGCTACTCCATGTAAAGACAATGACAACTCCAAGTTTCCAGTTGAAACAAGTAAATTCTGTCCAGCGTATTTACATTTTCATAGAACAGAATCACAGAATCATAGAGCAGTTTCGGCTGGAAAAGACCTTGAAGATCATTGAGTCCAACCTTCGTCCTAGCCCTCTCAACACCACTAAGCCATGTCCCTCAGCACAACATCTACCTGTTTCTTCAACACCTCAACTCAACCACCTCCCTGGGCAGCCTGTTCCAATGCCTGACAACCCTCTCAGTAAAGAAATTCTCTCTAATATCCAACCTGAACCTCCCTTGGCGCAAATTAAGGCCATTTCCCCTTGTCCTGTCACTCACCAGTAAGGAGAACAGACCAACCCCTTTCAGGGGTTGTAAAGAGCGATAAGGTCTCTCCTCAGTCTCCTCTTCTCCAGGCTAAACAGCCCCAGATCCGCCAGTCATTCCTCATGCGACACATGCTCCAAACGCTTCACTGGCTTGGTAACCCTCCTCACTACCCTCTCCAGCACCTCAATGTCCCTCTTGTAGCGAGGGCCCCAAAACTGGACACAGCTCTCGAGGTGAGGCCTCACCAAAGCCGAGTACAGGGGCATGATCACCTCCTTGCTCCTGCTGACGACATCATTCCTGACCCAGGCCAGGATGCCGTTGGCCTTCTGGTGGCTCACTCGTGCTACCGGCTCACTCAGCTCTCAGCTATTTCACAGACTTGCCTTCACTACTTTACAAATTTTTCCAAGTTGGAAAAAAACCCAACAAAACAAGCAAAACCTACCAAACCCTAACGAACAAGCCTATCCAATTCAGAAGCACAATCTGAAGAATTACAAAAGCTTGTTATACCTGTAGTAATTAGTAGACAAAATACGTACTTTAAATTCATATGCACTAACAAATTTAGAGGAAGGCATGAGCCCAAGCAAAACATGTGAAGATAATAAAGAGGCAAGGAGATAACCTTCTTCCTTTTAAGTCTTACAGTAGAACCCCTGGACTGCATGAAGACGCAGATTTACTAAGTATCTTCCGACCAGAATTCCAAGCAAGATCTGAAACAGGCAAAAAGCGTGTATTTCTGCAACTTTGTAATAACTGTCAGTTTGATAGCAATACCTGCTTGGGCTGCAGTTAAATAACGGGCAATTAGATGAATTTTCCAGCTACTAAGTGATCTGGGATGTTTTTAAAGCGTTGTATAATTTTCTAAATTGTCATAAAAGGCAAAGTAGAAGAGTAACTCCCACCAGGTGGTATCATGGTGCGGGCTTAGTCAAACCATTGATTGAGCAATACAGCAGTGAGTGCAGTTGGCTGAACTGACAGCAATAGACTGACAGCTCTATGCAGTCCAGCACTTTGCTTGAGGATGTGTAAATGTTTGCTAACAGAAAAAATCTCAAGTCTCAGAAATGATGAAATACTTCAGGTTCTGGAAGGGAATAAACTTCACAGACTACTCTGCTTGTTTTCCCCCTGACTCAAGGATCCTTCTGCCTTGTGCACTATCCCCCACAGCTTTCAGTCACACATGCAAACTAGTCTTGATGAATTGTTCTGGATGAACTTTTCTTCAGTCTGTTCCCAGCCACTGCACCTTCTAAGGAAAGAGAATCTTCACCTACTCCTATGCAACATAACTAGAGATGCACCCACTACACCAGGCAACTCAAGTGCTCCTTCTGTGAAAAAATCGAAAAGATCTTCCAAGTCTCCATGCCTATAATAAAATTTAAAGCACCGAGATATAAGCATTCTGTATTTTGATAACACAAATCTTTTAAAGTAATACAGAACAGCTTTTTTAGTGGTAGGTACTCTCAAGTTACTGTAGCTACCCAAAGCCACAACAGAAGTCTTTTCTGCACAAAATCCAGCCCCTTTACACTAATGATTAACACTTGCAGTAGCACCATCACCTCAGAGTTGTCACTATGTCTAACAACACGCATCTTGCCCTGGGGCCAGAATGGACATTTCTGTTGTCAAAATCGAAATCTCAACAGAAAGTGTACACTGGCACTTTCCAGATATGATGTGCAAGACAAATGTTTGATATTCTGAGAAACATGGTATACTGTCATTTGCTTACTCCTCTGCCAGTGTAAATTTCAATGTTTCATCAGCTTCTTTCAACTAACATAAGGAAAGAATTCAAAATATATCTTATATAACTTTTTTTAATAAGTTACAAACCATCTATTTGGAATACCTTTGTAACCACTTTCCCTGACAAGTTGTTAAGGATGGAGTGATGAAAACAAAAGAAGAAAACACTAACAGAAACTCCCCAAATCTGCATAGATTTACAAAAGGAAAAAAAGGGAAGGAATTACTTTTAGTGGCAACTCATGATTGTGGGGCCTTAATGGCTGTGATTTGCAGCTGGTCAAATATATTGATTTGCAGACAACTAATACACAATTCTAATTTTAAAATAATGTCCTTTTTTTTTGTCTCAAAGACCAATTAATTTTTTTGTTCATTCTCATTGTTAATTGCTTGAATCAAGATTTACAAAATAAGTCTTTCTTCTGCAGATTCTTCCAAATGCCAACTGCTTTCAATACTTTAATCATGGTTTTTAAAAACAGTTTGAGGCCCGAAATCAATTGGAATGCACAACAACTTAGTGTTGCAGGGTTTTTTAAACTTCTTACACAAATGCAGAAAAGGAGTAAGACTAGCAATTAGCTACAGAGCAGAGGCATCTCAAGAATAAATCAAATACTTTCTTCAACAATATAGTGTATTTAATATAAGGATATGAGAGCAAATGTATAAATATAGCAATAACCAAGAGTATATTGCATCCAGGTAGCATCTGGTAGTACGGAAATGTGGTAAAGAGGACAGGAATACAAATGTTCCTCGCCAACTTGTGCTGACAAATACAGTATTTCTCAGCGTATCAACTTATATTTTAGTAGAATTGCATAAATAATTAAATGTTAATTATGCCACTTCAGACACACAGAAATCAAAGTGAGAATACATAAATTCTGTTGCACTGTTCACTGGCATATGTGAACTGTTTGGACCGTCGTTCTTTTTTTCAGGATAACAAGCTAAAATGAAGAAATTCAGAGTGACTTCCAAATTGCTCTGACAACTAGAAGCTGAATAGCAATTAAAATAAATTAAAAAAAACCTTAAAACTGTCAACCACAGGAACAGAAGTTTTTTCCATCAAATACGATTTTTTTCATTAGAGTGAACTATAGCCAGTTAAACTTTGATGACATGAGTATCTGCCCAAGAACAAGAAGTTGTTCTGGTTTTCTTTCTGTTCTTATTTTCAGACTGTGCTCATAGAATCTTTGCTGCTATAGAGTATCTTCTGTTTTCATTTCTATTAACTTTCACTTAGTATATCTGAAGTAACACTTCTTACATAGCAGCAATAGCTGCTGGCTTTTAAATGTCTATAGGAACTCATCATTTTGTTGCTGGTAAACAAATGGAAGTACAAAGAAACTGCCATAATTTTATCCATAACATAACCACTCTTAAAAGGTAATCGTGGTAAGACCAACACAGTTTTGTCTTTCTTGTTTCTGCAGTACCCACACAAACAGAGATTGCACAGAAATACTTTAAAATTATGTATCTATAGTGATATTTTGACATTTAGTTAAGTATCCACTCTCAGCTCCCACCTAGTGATGAAATAGCTTTGTCATATGTAGTCTGGATTTTCTTCCTATACTTGCAACCCATACATTTTTTAGTCATTTAATCATTCGAGCAGACACATCACATATTGATAGGAATCAGGTGCACAAAACTGGTTTTTGAGTATCCGAATGTGTTAAGTCCTCTCTTACGATACAGTTAGCAACATGAATCACTGCTTTGACCCACACTGCTCCTTCTCAAATTCGTCAAGTGCTACAGTTTTAGAATTGATGATTTATGCCAATTAATAACCATTATTGACACTTACACTTGATAAAAGTTTTGAAATAACACATAAAATGAGTTTATGATACAGGTAGAAACTAGTAAAACTAATGCAAATGAAAATTGAGCATATTCAAATTATTTTATGACTTAATGCACTTTAGAGCATTCATCCTCTGTAGCTTTCACAGTTCTAGTATAAGAACCTTCAAGATGCCTGCTTAATGTAGTTACAAAATACGAGAAGTCCAAATTTTTTGTATTAGACTCTAGCACAATGAAATATAGCTTATATTACTGAGAGAGAAATCAACAAGGGTTTCCAGTTTATAATTATGACAATTAGACTTGGAATGTAAAGAACTTCCTCATCACTGTAGCCCAGATCACACAGAACTTATATCTAATAGTTGCCTTAAGCTGTTAAAAAGCAATACTTCACATTTTGCTTTACATAACCTTAAAAATAGGCAGTCTCTATTTAAAACAAACTTCAGTATGTTCTATATTATTGCAGTCAGGCAAGCTGCCAACATGAACATAAAGGTTCC